CAAGCCAATTGGTTGGTTGTTGTTGTTGTGACATACGGATTTTCGTGACTTTCCTGTCAACACATTTTGCCTAAAGAATTTTCGTTGTGTTTTAACATCCTTTAATCATCTCTATCCCACCAAAATATTTTGTTAGAAACAAGAAGTCGAATACAAATGGCGTATACAGGGCATAGGCCTGGTGCTTGGGGAGAAAATGTTTTTTTTTCATCCGTAAAAGAAATTTGCCCTCCCAAAAAAGTGGTACTACTGTTTCGGAAAAAAGGGGGAACATGTCGGAGGGGGGACTTGCCCCTACAGGCGCTGGATACGCCACTCATCAAAACGCATTTTTTATGTCGCAAAACGAAAGAAAGAGATGCAGCCACAGGAAAGCGAAGACTTGTATGGTGCCCATAAACTACATGTACTTGTTTAATACTTGGCCGCACCTGCTCCAAGTCGCTTACGACTAAGGTGGCCTAAAATATACAAATCTAAATTTTTTAACTGAGTCATAGACAGGACCCAACAATAAAACCAGCAGAATCATTCTTATGGGCTTACAACGTTTCAAATTCTAGAAGAATGAAAATGTCATTTTTAGATAAGTTCAGAGACTCAACAACTCTGTTTTTTGGTATAATGCAGGATTGATTCCTTGCATTCCAAAGAGTCCTTTTGTACTACATCAATTGGCTCACAAATCTGTCTTGTGTTACATTAAGTTTCACAGTTTTGTTCTAGATTTATAAACATAGATGTCCTCTTGGGGAGTTTATACCTTGCTGGCCTCCGTTGTTGGCTAAGATTCGAGGAAATCTCCAGATATTTCCTGTTCCCACCATGCATCCTATGCACGTTAGAGCAATGCCAATTCCGGTCTTAAATGTTCCCTCTTGGCCAGTCTTATCCGGGATCTTCAAGTTATACAAAAGGAAAGTGTCAATGATTTTCGTCCACATTTTATCCGGTTAGGGTCACATTAGGTCATTGGCTAATACGCTAACTTTGTACTTCTTACAGTTCAAAAAATCTTCAATAGATTCTACTCCATCCAAGGTACAAGCTGCCCAAGACCTTCATACTACGTGACGTCTGGCATCTTGGGTCAAAATGCAGTGAGCTATGAACAACCTCGTTTGAAGCTATCCCAAAAGAGACCATTCACAGAGAGAAACTGTTTTTTTTCTAACGCACAGGTGAATGTTGGTGTTTGTGTTTTATGGCACCCTATAAGCCCTCAAACTTTTGGAGTTATTTTGTCACTCATCATTAATTTTCATTTACGCAATGGAAGCTGATTTGTATTTACACGGTTTATGAGGACGTAACCAAAGCTTCACAAGATGGGCAACAAGTTGAGACTAGACTCAAACTCCAGTTTCTCCAGCTTGCTATACACACGTCACATTAAATGCATTATTTTTTGCTGCTAAGAAGTGTAGTCACACAGCAGAGAATTGGCTTTTTGCTAGCTTGGAACCAACTACGAAGCAGAATCAGGGTCAAAAAGATTGGATTACGTTTTTGCAAAACGGAATGCCCTTTTTCAAAATCGAACGTTTTTCTAAGAATTTTAAAAATATAGTATATTTGAACTTTGGAAGGTATCTTTTAAAAACCAAACAAAATTTAAAGATGCAATAGGCCTACATGTTTTTTTTAATTCGAATGAAGTTTTAAAAAGCGGACGAATTTTTATGGACAGAACACATTTTCTAGATTGGAATAATTTACAAATTCGAATCAGATTTTACGAATCCAACACTTTCTCAAGATTGGTACGATTTTTAAAGTCCAAACATTTTAAAGATTGGAATAAAATTGTTGACTATGAATTTATTTCGGGAAATTCGAACACTTTCGTAACGTAAAGTTGTCATTCGACGCATGCATTTTTACCCCAAATCTCATTTCATCCAAATTAAACAAGAATCCGAATTGCATTGGCTTAAGACTGACTGAATGACTTAATTGTGGTGGATCTACAGTTACTTTCAGGGACTTGTGATGGACTCAAATATAACACTGCCGTATTATATGAGCCCACTTGCAGAAAATTTGGAACAAATTTTCAAAATGTGATTTTATTTTTGAAAACAAAAATACAACCAGACTTGAAAGAAATATGTCCTTGGCCATTTCCATTTTAAAACCATTTTTTCTAGTTTATCAAAACAAACGAAATAAAGAGCCTTGTATATTAAGACCTGATCAAACATAGGTATTTTTGAGTTGTTGCCAATTGAATATTTTGCGAGAGAATCATTTTATCCGTAGTAGTATTAGTAGTAGTGCATGTTTACGTGCGTTAATGTACATATACATGTACGTTCACATATGCACACATAAATCATGGCCAACCACCATTTGGCAGTGCCAAAACTGAACTTGATAAAACTTACGGACAATTTGCAATCGCTTAAACATAAAGTGGTGTTCTTTTTTCAAACACGTTTAATTTCCAAGATATGCAGCATGTGTGGAAAATGGAGAACAATTCAAAATTTTGATTTTTTACCCTATTTTACGTTCTAAAATGTAGCTTACACAGACATCTTTCACCCTATTTTTCTCCAAAATGCCTCTTACGATTACCAAAACACATCACAAAATAAAAATTTCGATTTTGAAAAAGGCACTCCGTTTAGCAAAAACATCTTCCAATCTTTTTTGACCTAGATTCTGCTTCGTACCAACCAACTTGTTCATTTCAGCATCATCTCAAAACATTCTTCTTCTCACAAGCTTTTTCACTATGAATGCACAATTGAGTTTTTCATTTTTCCACCTAGACCGGCGCCTCTGAATGCTTTGCAGATATAGTGCGCCTTATAAATGCTTTATTATTATTATTATTTGAGTTTGTTCACAGATACCGGTAATCTGTTACTGTATTCTCAAAAGCTTAGAAATAAAACAAGAACATTTGATAACAGTGGAAATACTCTTCAAGGTAAGAATTTTCAATTGCAAATCTAAAACCAGCATTCTAAAGCCATACCCCTCCCGAAGTCACGTGAATGTCGCATGACTTA